CCATTGCAAATATATTTATAGGATTCAGTAAATCTATTAACAACTAACTTGGGTTTTAATTGCACAACATGCTCCACATCATCTGTTGGCTGTGTTTCATTATGTGTACTTTCAGGCACAGATTCATTTTCTTGTACTTCATCTCCATCCACGACATCCTCTTCTGCCTCATCCCCAATGAACTCTAATTCATCATTTTCCATCTGCAGCTTCAGAAAAATAACATTCTCTTTGTGTTTCTTTGATTTTTCATGATTTTCAAATCTGTAAACAGTAAAAGGATTTATTGGTAAAAAATAACACAATTAATGCAAACACATAAAACTAGCACATTCTTTAATTTTTCCACATTGGATTTTTAATGACATTTTATATTATTTTATAGCGCCTTTTCTTTGTAGATACAAAGCACTTCTTTTCCCTGGTCATTATGTCCAAATGCTTAAATATTTCTGCTGGTAGTCATCGCAGGTACAGTAACCCCACCACGTGGATAGAGAGAAGCAATGTTTGTTCAAGGACACAAGCAAAATGTACAGCAAGTGATTGAAACCCCGACCTCGAGGTTGGGAGACCAAACCGTTTCCGCTGCGCCAAACTGCTTCCTAGAGGTAACCATGCAAGCTACGAAAGTAAAATCTTAACATTTCTATATCTATTAATTAATCCAGCCTAATCCAGAAGAAATATTTATTAGGTATTTTTTGGTTAAGCACTGGTTTTTTCATACTTTTTAAAATTACTGTATATTTAGATTTTAAACGTTTTGTTAGGAGAAAGTATTTATGATATAAAATAAGGATTAGGTGAATGCTACTTGTATACTTACAATATTAGCATGCACAACCATTTTTGACTTACGCTTTGTCACTTTTAAATTCTTTGTTACAAGCAATGCAAAACAGGTCACTGAATATCTCATCTGAGTCTGAACCATAGGATCCATCTGTAATGTAAATGAGAGCATAAAGATTCTGTTCTATAAAGCCAATTTCAATTCCTACTATTCTAATCTGACTGCTACCTTGTGGTAGCAGTCAGATTGGAGGCCCCATGTCAAGGGGGTGCCCAGCAGAGAGGAATTTCACTGGACATAATTTCAGTTATATATATTCAGACAAGTGTATTGGTGCCCCAAAAGCAATAAATTCACCATGACAAAAAAATTCACACATCATCTTTACTTGTGTACATGCAAAATTTGCTACTTTGTTTCATCAAATATAATTATATATAATTATAAAATATAATA